GGCTCAGTTGGTTGAGCATCCGATGACTTGATTTCTGCTCAGGTCATGATCTCATGGTTGTGGGACAGAACCCCACGTCAGGCTCAGTGCAGAGTGTGGAACCTCCTTGGGATTCTGTCTCTCTCTCTCTCTCTCTCAAAATAAATACATAAGCTTTAAAAAAATTGCATTTGGGGTGTTAACAACAACAAAAAGACCGCAACAGCTGAAAAACTCAGGTATAAAGGATAAAGTTTATATATGTAAAAATTAAGAAAAAGAAGTGAATGGAAAGAGAAATACATCACCTCATCGAAGTCTCCTCTCACAATATGAACATCACCAGCCAGAGTCTTGAGATAGTCATAACTCTCTTTGGTGCAAAGGTTTCCAGTACAGAGAATGTGCTGAATCTTTCCTGGCACCAGCAGTTTTTTGAATTTAGCCGGCAAACTGTTGCACCGGTGTGGGATGTGCAGGTCTCCTAATACCAACACCAACTTTAAAGTGTCAAGGTGAGACAGATGTCATGTCAAACAGGACGTCAAAACAAGTTTTCCCCTTTTAAATTAAACTAAGCAGAGATTCCAGAACCCATAAAAGCACAAGTTATCTATACAGTTCTTAACGTAACCATTTAAACAAACACACTTATGGTAACCCACTCTGTTCTAATCAACCTTATTTTATACTGGTCATAAACAGGTGTGCATTCATAATACAGGTCATCATTCTATTTACCAAGAAAAAGGTTGGACTTTTAAAGCAATGCATTTAAGAGACCTATAAATGACACTGAAAAAAATTGCCAAATGAAAATTACACTACTGGGTCCTATGGAATTTGGCATTTTTGAGATGTGATATGGTAATTCATAGTTCTCCAGCTATAACATAAAACCTAATATACTGATTCCAATGGTCCAGGAACATTAATAAAGAGAATTGCTAAAAGTGTAGTGATAGAGAAAAAAATTCTGTAATTTATGTTTACTAGACTGTTTACTAAACTACATAGAGGAACAGTAGCCAAAATTTGTAATATTTTACTTAAAACAATTAGCTATACAGTATACAGGAATAAAAACAGCCTATGCTTCAAAGAGTTTCAATAAGACAAACAAGTGCTTTTGAATTATAATCTCTGTTATCTTCTTTCCTTATTGGAAATCCTCACTGTCCTATTTCTACTGCCTAAATTGCCTATGTACCTTCAGCTTGGTTCCCAAATTTAAAATAACATTTTCACATTCTTTCATGTGCATTAGAGATTTATTTAAAAAAAAGAAAGAGAGAGATCAGCTAAATAAGTAATGAATTTAGCAGGAGGTGGTTTAGAGTTGCAACATAGTCTCGATGACAAAAATAAATTTTGCATTTAAGTATAAAAATAAAAAACCTCAATCCTGTAAAATTATAATTTTAAAATTTCAAGATTTGAATATAAACATTATGTAATTCTGTCATTTAATGGAACATTGTCAAAAGGTAGCTTTAAAGTAATATCTGCCTCCCAAAGGACAATAAATCAATTTTTTATGTTAATTAGTATAAGCACCTTCATTCTGTAACAGGATATTTTCCCACACAGACATGCCATCCATAAATGTACATGCCTTTTAACTGCTTTTAAAGAAGGCATGACTATTCCTTAATAATAACAAAGAAAACATTAAATAAATAGGATAAAATCAGAAAATATTTTGCCACCATAGTCTTTGTAAACTGAAATTAATCAAAAATGAAAATGTGTCAAACTAAAATTATTACTAAAACAAACTTGATTCATCTTGCAACAAATTACCAACATGATTACAAAAGAAAGGAACTGTTATCAGGACACAGAGTAACTGAAATAACACAAGGTTACAAAATAAGCACACTTTAAAAGAAATTGTTAAATAAGTTTCTTCTTTTTAAAGAGTAGTTTCAGCTGGTTATTTGTTCAATGACTTAATTGTTTCAATCCAGATCTTAGTGGATAAAACATCTTACTGTAAAGCTAAAGACCACTGTGAAGTTTCCACCCTCATTGGTAATCAATGCAAAAGTACCTGGAGACAGAACAATCTTCATCTTAAGAGGGGGATCCCTTCAGATATGGATTGAAGTACATTGTTAATGTGGGAAGCTGGCATTTGAGAAAAAGGTAGAAAATAGAGGTCTACATTAAAAAAAAAAAACCACCTCAAACTCATAAAAGGGTATATGTCTACAGCAGGTTGAAAATCTTTGGGACTGCTAATGAATCAGCTGTTCAGTCTAAATGTGCTAGAAGAATATTAGTAAGACATGGTATTTTATAATGGCTGATGACCTAAATTCTATCATGTATTATGGGTTATGCCCAAGTGTACCCAGATTATTAGCAGTCTAAAGATATAACTATATGAATGACCAAACAAAAATTATTCCAAACTAGTAAAGATTCTTAGTAAGACTCTTGTTTCATATAGGTGACTAAGTTATTAAGCCAAATAGTATATAAATAACAAATGTCATATTTTGAGGAATGTCCTTGTCCAAATTCCATACCTTTGACAGTTTAGGTTAGACAATGTTTAGAGTCTTTTGAGACAGCAAAAGATCCTGGAAATAGCAGCTTTGTTAAATTCAAATAAAGAATCAACCCATTCAAAGCATAGGAATTTGGTTATTTCCTATTTGATAGATCGTAAAAGGGTAAAAATCCCAGTAATCAGCCACCCGACCACCATTGTTAGTAGGAGCTAAGAGAAGAAACTTACTCTGTGCCCAGCCTTAGTGGAATGAAGAAGTTGATTGCAGACAGGGGAATGAAAAAAAAGGGTGAAACATGACCAATGTTAAAAGAAAGCAACGAAAAGAAACAAACCAAAAACAGAGCAACAAAAAACTCATATCAAATGAATGTGCAAACACTTGTTAATGATTTCTGAGTGTTATGAAAGAAAATGTTAAAAACTGGCTTTGCTCAAAACAATACCAAAAGAACCATTTGCTGTATTTTTAAACATGACACACACACGTACTGTAAAAAAAAAAAAAAAAAAAATTGCTTTGTCAATTTTTTCTACTTCTCCTAATTGTCTTCTCTACAATGACTCCAATCCCTTTTGCTTCCTGTTCTGTTTCAAATTTTGTAAGACAGTTTGGAAAATTCATCAGTAACAATGTAAATGAAAACTAACATTTTCTGGATGCATAAGGACTAATTCCTCAAGTATACTAATTTTAATTCTCTTATGCTCAAAATTCTAGTAGTTAGAAAATTTATGCTGCAGCTAGATCATTATTTTGTATAGAAGATCTAACACAGCACTATGAATACATTATCAAGTGATGAAGTCACCAACTAAAGATGATAAAAACCAAACGCGTTCCTCCAGCTACAACGGGACCTTCTCCACACCTGAATTTGCTGCCCACAAACCCTGGACACCAGGTGTTGAACATTTCTAGTTTACTTTGCCAAGAAAGAAAAAAAAAAAAGATTTTTAGGCATAAAAGAGTCAGCTAGTGCTAAATTTTGCCCAGTTCTATGTCACGTGACAAGTAATGTTCCAGTATAACTACCCTCAAAAAGTGTTCATTTCTAAAAAAAACCCTTCAGAAACATAAGTATGGAATCATATGTCATCTTCTCGCAGGAATAACTGCCTCACAATTATTGTAAATCAGATCCCTCTCAACTAGTCTGTTTAGAAGCAACAATCAAAAAGGCGATTAAAGCCTTTCACATATATACATTAAAGAAGCGTATACCATAAATCTTTGGCTGTCACGTCTATAGCCACCTCCAAGGTGATTCTTGCACAGAATCGTGGGAATCTTAAAATATGCAATGGGATGCCCATCAGAAAGAGAAGTCCCTTTACAGTTACCCTCACCAACACAAACACCAAGATAATCAGAGCTCCTTTTGAACAGGTTAACTTTTCAGGGGGTGAAGGACACCTTTGAAAATCTGATTATAGCTACGAGCCCTCTCCAGTAGCAGCTCCTGGGTTTTCATGTCGGACGGTCGTAGGGGCAGAAACCTACTGGAAAGCCAGTTGAGGGTGGGGGGTGGGGGTGGGATGGAGGTGAGGGGTTTGGCCTTGAAGCTGGCAGAGCAGTCTGATGATGTAAAGCTCCACAAACTACCCTTCGGCGCCCACACTGGCTCCTTACCCGGAAAAAGTACATATTCACAAAATTTTCCAATTTCAAGGAGCTCATAAACCATTAAGGAAACAATAGTTCCAGCCATTCTAAGAACCAAATCCAGTCCTTTGAGGGCTCGCTACCAATTTTCAATGGCAGCTGCACTAAATTGCAGGGACAATTGTATTCCCTTTCCTCGGGCCGCATACTAAAATGGATAGGGGATTCTGATCGTTACTTCCCGGTCTGCAACTGAGAAGCCAGCTTTCCACGTAAGCGGGAGGCAACTGGTATACCCTAACCAGCGGGAGGTGCCTTTTAAGGGAAAAGAGTAAAGGGAAACGTCTGGAAACGGAGGAGACCATGCCCCTTTCTCGGGTGCTAGAGCCCCAGCCCCAAAGGTCTTTCCCGGCTCGGGAGCGCGGGTCTCGTGACAGGACGAGCCGCTGAGAGGGGTCCTTTTCCCCCTCGGATGTCCTCTGGTCCCTGGGGCGGGAGTGCGAGCCGGCCGCACCCAGCGGTGGCTGCTCCTGATCCTCCCCGGTCCTCCCCCTGGGCCTTCCCCAGGCCGGGGCCCGGCTGCGCCCGCCACGCCCCCGAAATCGCCCATGCCCTCGCTCAGAGGCTCCCAGCGGCTACCAACGATGCAGAACCGCGGCTGAGAGCTAGGCCTCGGCCGCCGTATCTGCAGTCCTCACCATCCTGTCACTGGGCTGCGCTCAGTCACCACCACCACCGCCGCCTTCTTCCTCGGGCTCCGGGCGACCCGCCCACCTCGCTCTCAACCAATGACAGATGAGGTCGACGGGAGACGGCCTACGGAAGCCCGTATGGGCCCTTACGCGCCGTCAAACGCAGCTGCCCTTTGGGAAAGGGAGGGTGGCGGGAGGAGTAAGATCTCGAAGCTTCGGAGGGTGCGGGCAGCATCCGGGCACCTGGGATCGTCGAGCTGAGGCGCGCCTCGGGGCCGCGCTTGTTAGGGCCCGCGGCCATGCTGAAGTGCGGGATGAGTGGCAGTCAGGTGAAAGGTGGAGCGGCCTTTTTGCCTACCTTTGTAGAAAAAGGAAAGCGGGGGCGAGGGGGGGAGAGAGAAAAAAGTAAAAGAAAAAAGGGAAAGCCTCGGGTTCATGCAGCAGAGTCCCCTTTGCCGTTAGGCTCAAGGACTGGTGGCACAGGCCTGGCCACAAGCAGCCGCCGCCCACCCAGGCTCCTAGTTAGTTTCTGAAGGAAGGAAAGTGGCCCATTTTCTTTTATTTATGCGTAGTATTTATTTTCTTGGGTGTCCATGAAATGAAGTTGCACATTGGAACAGAGACTGAGAGCACGGGTCTCAAACTCCAAATGATAAGGACAGCGTGGGGAGGAGTTGGGGGAAAAACCGTTTAGACGGTTGAAGTATTTTAGTGCCACTAGAAAAACATAAAACTGGTTTTTTATTCCAGATTCTACTATTTTTTGGCGTGGGACCTGAACAGGCCACTGAATCACGGCGGGGGGCGGGGGTGGGGTGGAGTCTCAGTTGGCTTATCTGTAAAATGAGAATAATAACATTTTCGTCATAGGCCTTGTAGGAAGGAAAGGAGATGCGTGTAAAGAGCTCAATAATAGATGGGAACGTATAGGAACTATTACATGTTACAAATAGTACTTAAATGTAAGTTTTTAAAGAAAGTTTCTATTTAGGAAAACAATGGTGTCCTACATTTTGCAACGTGGAAGTGACCCTAGAAAGCCATCTTGTGTTGTGGCTGGCTTCCCCTGTGTTGAGGACAAAGATGGAAGAGTAGTAATAAACAGGAAACGAAGCACAAGGGGTCAGCTGTTCCATGTTCTCAGAGTTCTAGGAGGTTCTCTTGCAGTGTATAGCTCAGTTCTCAACACAATTATTTGTATGATTGTTTTTGCTTTTTCTCCTGGACTGTATGCAGGGTGAGGGCAGGAACCATTCCTGTCCTGTTCATTGCTCTACCCCCATTGCCTTGGGTTGTACCCCAAACATAGCGGGTGCTCAAAAACTAGTCATTGGATGAATGAAGGGTCTGCATCAGGCAGCTCCAGGAAAAAGTGTTGAAAGTGAAGTGGTAAAGAGGGAGAAATGCCTCTTTTTTTCCCTCATTGGTCATCCCATTTCAGTTTGAGAGGGGCACCCCCAATTCACATACTCTTGATTCTTAAGCATTATAACCGGATTTTATGTTCTGGAATTATTTTTTCTTTTTTCTACTTGTTCATGGAATGATATGGCCATCTGTTTTTATTGCAACATAGTATTCCGTATCTGTTTCCCAAATTTTGTTCTTATTCATAATTCATAAGACTATGAACTGTGTCATACCAGATTAGACCAATATGTCATCCACCCTAGCCTCTCTTATAGGACATCTGAGTGTGTTTGGTGGGAAGGTCTGTCATCTTACATGCTACCTTCAAATATCAGAGATGCATCTTAAATGCTTCTAATTTCTTTCTCGTGACTTGTTTTGACCTTGCCACCTGTGAAGTTATTGAATCCCTTCAACCTCTCCATGCTGTTTTCACACTTCTTTTTTCTTGAGGGGGTAGTAAACCAAGTCTAAAAATACATTAGTATGGAAATTGGCTGGCTACAGTAGCTCCATGCAAACATACAGAAAGGAAGAATGTTACTGCACTTTATCATTTTGCACACTCATTCTGTAAATATATTGAGCTCTTACTATGTGTCTAGCATTTTGTCAAAAGTATTATTCTGTATTTAAAGCAATTTGTAGCATTAGTCTATAAAACACTGTTCTTTTTGAATTATATTTTGAGCCCTGTGAATGCTGAAGTAGTCCTATGATTTACTTTTATCGTTTGAGAGAAAGAATGTAAGCAGTACTTTTCTTTTGCTCCGTAGTATTTGGGAAAGCAATCCAAGCTCTATCACGAATCAGTGACGAGCTATGGCTAGACCCATCTGAAAAAGGTGTAAGTAAGAAAAGTAACAAATAGACTGTCTATTAAGGGAAAAGAAGATGTTTATAGAGCCCAGTCCAGATTGAATGTTAACTAGGAAATCCAAAAATTGTAATTATTTCTTTCATTGTTTATCTTTATTTCATGTATGTGAATACATTTAGAGCATATTAAACTTAAGTATGCAGAAAACCACAAGAGCTTTAAGCCAGAAATTGCAAGCTGGTGGTTGAGAGGCTGGATATGACACAGAAGTGTTTTGTGAGACTGCATTGTGTTTTTAAAAAAATGAAATAGTTTTCTAAACTTAAAAAATTGAGAGTCCACACAATGATCAGAGTTTTGTGCTTCTCATGAAGACTTAATATCTGACAGTTTGTGGCCAGCATTCCCAAGCAGAAGTAATTGTCTGGCGCTGATGATGATTTCTCCCTTTAGACGAGAGACTGCCGTTTTGCTGCAATCTTTTTACTGCCTGTTACTTGGTTTCTTCCACTTTGAGCATTAAAGTTAAAAGGTGTTTACAACTTTATAATTTCAACATGCAAGATATTAGAGTTAATATCTGTATGTGTTCAATATAGATATGTAGCCATGTGTGTATATATATATGCAAATTCAATGCATAGTGTATAATACAACTTATTTAATATCTATAATAATTCAAATACGTAATGTAGCCCATAGAATACAGTTAACATCCCATATTTAACTGCAATGTTAAACATAATAGAATATTTTGAATTAATCCTTTAAAGAAAGTTGATTTTTTTTCCTTAATAACTATTATTTTTCCAGCTTGCTTTAAGATCTGTGAATTCTTGTCGGTCAGCATATGGATGTGTTCTCTTCTCTCCTGTGTTTTTTCAACATTATCAATGGTCAAACTCCGTGAAAATGAATGATAACGATTCGACAGTGTCAAACTTAAATTGCAAATTGGGAATGAAGGTAAATATAAGTGGCCCTGGTTTTCTCTTGTTTCGTAGAAATATTTATTATACAGGATAACATCTGTATATATACAGTATATATACATATATATATAACATCTGTTATATATACAGTATAACATCTACTTTGCATTTAATATATGGTTTAAAGGGCATGGGGAGCAAATCTATTCATTTATGAATATACATACTCTTGTTGATTCTTTTAAACTAATCAAACAACCAAACACCAAACCACGTTCTATAACGTTTTTGTATTACAGTCAGTTCTGCCCATCTTTAGATGCCTGAATTCTCTTGAAAGAAACGTGGAGAAGTGCAAAATATTCACCACATCTGATAAGTGTAAAGTGGTTATTCAATTCTTCTGCCGACATGGTGGGTATAATTAAAGCTAAAGTATCGTGTGTTTTTTGTTAATATGTTTCATGTTTAGAATATTCAAAGTGCATGTCAAGACTTCTCCTTGCATTGCTGCTTAGAATTTATGTGGGTTTGTTGTAGGGTCATTGTAAGTACTTGGAAAGTATGATCTTGTCTCTGTAGACATATTATGAACTGATTTGTATTCATGTTTTCCTCTTTTGACTTATCAGTGGCACAAGCGTGGCCTGCATACAAACTGATTTTTTTTTTAATGTCTGTTTGAATTCAAACAATTGGTGATTCTAAAATTAACTGGCTGCTTGGTGATATTCTGTAAGAGTGCATTGGTAACAGCGTTCTTTGGTAAGAACAGAAAATAATGCCTACCTGTATTGAAAGTCCTCTAGGAGGCACATAGTATTATATCTGGGGCTGAAGGAAGCATGGTGACTGGCCCAGGGTCACAAAACTAGTAAGTCATAGTAGTAGGAGCCAAAACCTTTATACATTCTCTCTGTTACATGAAGCTGTAAAACAGATTTGCTGCCTCCCAGCCTTGCATGGTGGATATTCAAGTGTTGTACCCATGGGATGGTTATCTGCTGAAGTATGGATAGCACGATGGTTAAGAGCATGGACTCTGGAGGCCATAAGGTCTAGGGTGGAATCTTGCTCTGCCCTTTCTTTGCTGATACTTTGAGTAAGTTATTTTCCATCTGTTTGCCTCATTTCCCCCAAATGTAAAATAGGGTCATGTTAGTACCAGCTTCCTTAGGTTTTGGAGGAGGATTCAATGAGTTAGAGGAAGTTAGAGTTCTAAAGTGTTTAAAAGAATGCTGGCACATTCTCTGTTAGTTCCAGTTATATTTATTATGATTGCTGCTATTTTACTTGAAGTTAGCAGGTAGAATTGTATGCCTTAAAAAAGCTTACACTGGGCACCAGGGTGGCTCAGTTACATAAGCGTCTGATTTCGGCTCAAGTCATGATTTCACGGTTTGTGGGTTCGAACCCCGCGTCGGGCTCTTTGTGGACAGCTCAGAGCCTGGAGCCTGTTTAGGATTCCATGTCTCCCTCTCTCTCTGTCCCTACCCTGCTCACACTCTGTCTCTGTCTCTCTAAATAAACATTTAAAAATAAAGAAAAAAACTCACACTTGTGATATTAGTCTGCATCTTTTTAAAAATTTTTAAAATGTTTTATTTATTTCTGAGGGAGAGTGAGAGAGACAGCATGAACAGGGGAGGGTCAGAGAGAGAGGGAGATACAGAATCAGAAACAGGCTTCAGGCTCTGAGCTAGCTGTCAGCACAGAGCCCGATGCAGGGCTCGAACCCACGAACCGTGAGATCATGACCTGAGCTGAAGTCGGACGCTTAACTAGTTGAGCCACCCAGGTGCCCTAGTCTGCATCTTTTTTTGTAAAAAAAAATTTTTTTAGTGGAATGGTCTTCTGGAAGGTTATTGTAGTGTTACAATTATCTTCTGTCTCTTACTTTGCCTTACATTTATCTTAATATTTAAATTTCACCTATTTGTATTATACTCTTTAATTTTTCCCCTGCAAAATATCAATGATTTAACATGATTTCCCCCTTCTTTGAACTTTAGTTCACGTAATAGCAGAATCACGTAAAGACTATGATTAAAAGCATAGCAAGCCTTGACATCATAGACTTGGGTATGAATTCTTCTGTGCTTCTTCTTCATTTTTTTTTTTTGATGTTTATTTATTTTCAAGAGAGAGAGCGTGAGTGGGGGAGAGGTAGAGAGGGAGACACTGAATCTGAGCTGTCAGGACAGAGCCCGACACGGGGCTCAAAACCACAAACTGTGAGATCAGGACTTGAGCCAATGTCAGACATTTAACCGACTGAGCCACCCAGGCACCCCTTCTATGCTTCTTATTAGCTTTGTGAAAGTTCATGAGCTTTGTCAACGCAAATTGAACAAACCTTTTAGAATCTCTGAAAGTAGGGAAGAGTGTTATTCGAGGCCAGGTTAGGCCTGGGAAACACACTGTTTACAGGGAAGAAAATGCTCCAGAGAACGAACGGTTTTTACTGGGTTAAATACATTTTTACATCTTGTAAAAGCTCAAAAGAGTATAGATTAGCATATGGGTAGGAACCATGAGGAATGCAGGGAGCAGGAGCATTGACCACATGGTTTTCCTCTAGGCTGCGCATTCGCAAAGCAGATGTACAATGTGTGCGTGGCCAACCATAAGTCAGGCTTTTGGTTTGAACAAAGTTTATGTACAGCCATGCTAACTTAGAAATCTAACATGGCTTCTTTTGTAGATCAGGCCTTTAGAGAGTGTTTCTCTCATCAGCTCTCTGAACTTCCATTTTCTTTTCTGTAAAATGGGGATACTCTTACCCTCACGTTCCGAGGTTGTTGTGAATGTAGAGATCACATGTGAAGCATATGGGGTGGTGTCTGTAAGGAAGTACGAGGGAGTCGGTGACTGCTGTTATTAACCCTCAACCCTTATTTTGAGCTAGATTTTAAACAGCCACCTTTTCAGTTTCTTAAGATCTCTAAAGTGGATTGATTAGATTAATATCTAATACCTACTTGTGATTGGTTGGTTTTTTAAAGGTTATTTTTTTTTTTATTTTGAGAGAGAGAGAGCATGAGTGAAGGAGGGGAAGAGAGAGAGAGAGAGAGAGAGAGAGAGAGAGAGAGAGAGAGAGAGAATCCCAAGCAGGGTCTACACTAATATTGCGGATCTGACCTGGGGCTCAAACTCATGAACCATGAGATCATGACCTGAGCTGAAATCAAGAGTTGACACTTAACTGACTGAGCCACCCAGACACCCCAGTTGGTTCATTTTCAATAACATTTGTAGGAAAGCTGTATGAGTTGGGATGCTTTAAGTTGCAAGTAACAGGAAAAAATACTCCCGCAAAAAATTAATAAGGAGAAATATTGGCTCATGTAAATGCAAAGTTCAACATTAAGTCATAGGGTGGGTTTGATTTAGCCTGCAGCAGCCACTGCTTCTTTTCCTTCTCCTTTTTATTTTATTTTTTGAGAGAGAGAGAGCGCAAGCATGAGTAGGAGAGGGGCAGAGAGAGAGACAGGATCTGAAGCAGGCTCTGCACTGACAGAGGCTCGAACTCACAACCGTGAGACTATGGCCTGAACTGAAGTCAGACGCTAAATGGACTGAGCCACCCAGGTGCCCCTCTCCTTTTTCTTTTTTAAATTCACTCAGCTCTACTTTCCTCCATGTGACTTATCCTAAGGCCAGCTTCTCTGATAAACTTTCAATAACAAGGTGGTTTGCAGCAGCAACCGGGGCTACGTGCTTCCTCTTTCACATCCAGTGGGAATGAAAGCCTCACCTCATGGATCCATTAAACAAAAGTGCTTGCCTTCGCTCTGATTGGACCAACCTAAACTAATCTTCGTGGCCAGGAAATTCAGTCTCTAAGTGTCATATCTGGTCCAGATTTAATTGTACTAATCAGTTTATACCAAGGAGGGCCCATCAGTGATGCTGGAAGTAGAGTCAGTCCCACCCAGACCTCATGGTAGCTACAAAATGGGGGAGGGACAGCTCAGGAAGGAAGGTGAACATAGGAGACAGATGCTGCTACTTAATTAGTTAAGTAGTTATACTTCCCAAAACTGTATGTACACAGCAAATTATACTTGCAGTTTTATATCTATAATGTGGTGGGGAAACATTATTCAAATTTGGTTGAAAAAAATCACCTGGGCAGGGATATCCACTAAGCTGCTAGGAATACATATTTGGGATTTGGTAAGAAATTAAGGATAATGATGTAAATTTGACTCTCTTCACTGATAGAAAACACTTGAAAAAAAAACCACGGGCTACTAATAAGGACTGACTTCTCTAAATCTAACCATGAAAAGTTTCTGGAACAGTGATTTCTTGAGTTATTTAGCATCTGCTAATAGATAAAAAAAGAATTTATATCACTGAGAACCAAGATTTAGCTGAAATATTTGTCTCATTAATAATTCTACTAATTCTCTATACTTTCTTTTGCACTGGCCCTAGAGTTGCTAAAAACGAGTCCGTGAGTTTCTGAAGAACACACCTGCAGTGTGTTCTGTCCTGTCTCAAGGGGACAGGACTCCACCACAGGGGAGCTTCCATAAGAGAGGTGAACTAGGACACTGAGTGAAAACAAAACTTTGATTCATATGCATATATTAATGAAGTGATGTTAAGGAGGTTGGACTCCCACTTCATGGTTTCACTTTTTTGTCAAAGGGCATTCTACAGATGTGCTAATGACTTTAAACTCACGTTAACTGTGAACTTATGGGGATTGGGGAATCTTTGAATAGCTTACAAGATTTCTGAAGTATCAGTAGCCGCCAAAATTCTAAACTCTACAAATGAAGCATCTCCAAACTAATGGTTGCTCCTTAGCTGTACCCCTTCAGGTTTGAAAGAGTTCTCTGGACCCATTGAGGAAAGTTTGAAAGGACTTGGAAAGTTCAGGAGTCCCATGGCCAGGAGCAGATAGTGTAAGACACCCACTACTCAGCGTGCTCTGTGGGCTGGCTGCTGCACCCCAAATTGTTGTTACTGTTCTTTGAAAAGATAAGGAGCTTATGCCAGAATTTAGGCCAAACACATTACTAAGCATTGTGTTAGTTCAGATGTTGTTATTGTTTTAAATAGTAATATTTTATCAGTGAAGGCAGTCCTTTTTTTTCTTAGGTTATTTATTTTGAGAGAGAGCACAAGTGGGGAAGGGGCAGAGACAGAGGGGGAAGAGAGAGAATCCCAAGCATGCTCTGCACCGTCAGCCCAAAGCAGGGCTGATGAATTCACAAACTGTGAGATCATGACCTGAACTGAAATCCAGAGTCTGCAATGCTTAAGCAGTTGAGCCCCCTGGGTTGCCCAGAAGTCAATTCTGATGAAAAATTCCTTACTGGACTTACAGTCCAGTACTTTGTGCAGCATAAGATAAAGCTAATAAATGACCCAGGGGGGAAGCAGGACTTCTAAATGTTTATCCCATCTGCATGCTATCAAGGGAGATGTTATTAAGCTAGAAACTAGAAAAACCACTGTGAAGAGGTACATCAAGCTAAGTTGCTTTAAAAAGGGTACAGTGGATGTGCTTTGGGCCAGAGAGTCAAAGGAGAGAAAGCTGCAGAGTAGAGGCTTTCTGGCTAGTGGCATCACATGGGTAAGTTTCCGGTAGGCAGAAATGGGAAGGCATTCTGCGGTGAGGGAGCAGTGTGATCAAAGGTCTAGGTTGAAAGTTTAGCACCTGTTGATAAGGTAAAAGGTGAAGGAAGCAGGTGGCGAGAAAAGGAGCATCAGGAACGACAAATTAGACATTTCTCAGCCGGGACATCTTTGGCAATGCCAGTACTCGCTGGTGTGAAATACTTAGAGGTGCGCTTGTGCTGTGTGTGCCGGGCCTGTTTGTGAACTGGACCTACGGAACCGGTAACAGGGCTGCAGAGGCTCCAGGGCTGGCGGGAGTCAGGGGTGGAGGGTGACTTACTTTCTGCTGTCTCTTCTTTGGTATCATTTGAGCTTTCAACCATAACCATTTATTATCTGGCCCTCCAAAAGTAACTTGAACATATTTTTAAAAATAGGTAAGCTCTGCCAACTTTTAACTTTGTGTCTTCCCAAAATAGAAATCACAGTGATGCCTTGCAACGCCACGCTCTCTGTGGTACATCTAAAATGTATGGATTAAAGCAAAGATGAAATAGGTCAGCTTATGTTATTCCAGCCCTCAAAACTCTCCAAAAAAAAAAAAAAAGATCACCAATGAGGCTCTATGTGGGTTAGAAGCCCTCTGCCCAGCAGACTCCTTCTCCCAGGTAGCAGGTAGCTCGCTCTTTCACCTCCCCCGAGTCTTTACTCGGATGGCATCGCTTCCATAAGGTCTTCCATGGCCTCTCTATTTGAAATTGCTGCCTACTACCACTGGGGCTCCCTAGTGCCCTTTCTGCTTTGCCCGTATCACCATGTGACATATCAGTTATTTACTTATTTATTTTCTTAGTGTCTGTCTCCTCTCCCTAGAACATGTACACTATGAGGATAGAGATTTTTGTCTGATTTGTTCTTGCTAATCCCCAGCTCCTAAAATTGTTCTTGTGTGGTAGATTACCAAAAAAAAAAAAGTCTCGCAAATTATTGGCAGCTCCCCTCTTCAGAAGCTGGAGTCAGATTCCTCAGCTGGAATCTTGGCTGGCCTTGGCCTTTATCAATTAAATACAATAGAAGTGATATTCTGTGAGTTCTAGGCCTAGGCCTTAAGAGGCTTGGCAGTTTCCTCTGTTAATGTAGGAACATTTCCTCAGCATGAGAATAAATGCAGCACAGTGTAGACTTCTGGAGGATGAGAGGCCATGTGGTGAGAGGCCAATGCCGGCCCTGCAGGCTCTCGCTATGCCTGTTGTCTACTGAGGGCCTAGACCTGAAAGTGAGGCCATCCACGATGTTCAGCCATAGCTAAGCCGAGCTAAGTCAGGACTCAGCCAAATTGTGAGAAACAACAAATGTTTGTTATTTTGGTTTGTTATCCATAAAAAGCTAACTAATGCAGCTTTATACAAAGTAGGTGGTCAATAAATACCTAAGAAATTAATAAATGTCGCTGTTATTAATTTGGTACCCAGTTGGTTGAGAAAGGTTGTTTCTAGTCAGCCCTTTTGATTCTTACTGCAACATTATCGTGCTGTAGAAAGTTACAGCCCACTTGGATTTTTTTACATGGGTGCTGTATTCAAACTTCGATTCAAGTTCTAACTATACATGTTAAAATAGCATAGGCTTGACAAGTCAGTCAGTCTGTCCAAGCTACAGTTTCCTCTTCTGAGATTAAGTGCCTACACCATAGGAATATTGTGAAGATTAGGGGTAATGTATGTAGAATGTGTACCACAGTTCCTGGCACCTACGGTCATAGCCTTTATGGCTACACACTCTTCCCTTCCTCCTCTCAGAAGAAGAGAATTCACGGACCATATGTTCATGTCAGACTTCTGAAAGTCTGAGAAATCTGGAAATAATAAACCTGGGTAAAAGGTGGTGAAAGGGAATCATAAGTATGTGAACTGTAATGGGCAACCACTATTTTACACACAATTTAAGAAATAACTTGTATTTCAAAAGAACTTGGGACCTCTACTGACTGATAGTGTCCAAGGACCTAGCATGTTGCATGGTGTCCACTAGGGGGCGATAAACACATTTCGTAAAGGAATAGTGTTCCTTCAAGCTATGTATGCATCTGCCTGATAGTAAATGTTACTTTAATTTTATTATTTTAACTTGGCTGTGACACTTAGACCTTTTAAATAGTTCATTTTGGACTTAATTATTAATAGGTTGATTTATTCTTTTTAAGGTATTAGAAGAACTCATAATGTATGTTTTCAAGAAAGTCAGCCCTTGCAAGTTATTTTTGAAAAGAATATGTGTTCTAATACACTAATGATTCAACCAAGGTAATGAATTCTCCGGTGTTTTATTTTTCTTTTTCTGAATATAACATGGGCACAGAGTAAAGAATTAAGCTGTAGAATCAATTATATGTATTTTTTAAAATGCTAATATTTAACTTGTAGAAATCACCTTACAAAGTAAAGAGGAAGCCATCAGAAAGATAATAGCAGATAATGTAGCTGCATAATGGTAGCAATGATAATTTAGTGGCAAGAAAGTTCTAAAACTGTCCTGTTAGTGGATTTTTATATCAAGTGAAACCAAGAGAGAGAGATTTTACCTAATAATACTTTGCATTTATATATTGTCTTCTGAATCATTAAAAAAAAATGTAATGTTTATCTATTTTTGAGAGGAGGGAAATGAGGGAGGGGGAGAGAGATGAAGACATAGAATCTGAAGCAGGTTCCAGGTCTGAACTGTCAGCACAGAGCCCAATGCGGGGCTTGAACCCATGAGCATGAGAACATGACCTGAACTCAACTGACTGGCCTCTGTCTGAGTCTTAGAACACACCACACAGGGAAACTTTAATATTTTTGATGTAAACTGATTTTATCCCAAATGTTTGCATTTTTTCTTTAGAGAATGAGTTAGGTTCATTTGTCAGTAAAACTGCACTCATTTTTTTTAAGTTAAGCTGTAGCATTAAACATTAATTACTTTGTGAGCCAAGAGATATTTTATCCTTATTGTTTATAAATTATGAAAGCATCTAGAATCTATAGAGGAGTGCAAAGGTAAAATAATGAAAAGTCTTTCTCTCTACTTGTTCCCTCTGTCCTGCTTGGCAGAGTTAACATCAGTCAACAATTTGGTGTATATCCTTGTAGATCTTCTCTAATAGCCAGTCTTTATAGCTCTCCCTCCCCCTATAGCTGTGGGTATCTTTCTTCCTCCTTCCCCTCTCTCAGATTTATATTACATACTAGACACATACTTATAAATGATTTTTTCAAAGCAAATATCCTGCTATTGTTGGGCAACTTACTTTTTAAAAAATACTTTATTAAAAATTTTAAAAAATGTTTATTTTTGAGAGAGACAGAGAGCAAGTGGGGGAGAGGCAGAGAGAGAGGGAGACACAGAATCTGAAGCAGGCTCTAGGCTCTGAGCTGTCAGCACAGAGCCCGACACAGGCTCAAACTCATGGACCAGGAACTCATGACCTGAGTAGAAGTCAAACATTCAACTGACTGAGCCACCCAGTTGTCCCAGGCAACTTGCTTTTTTAAGTTTCTATATCAGTTCCCTTAAATCAATCTTACTCTTTTTTTTTTTTTTTGAGAGAGAGTTGGGGAGGGGCAGAGGGAGAGAGAGAATCCCAAGCAGGGTCCACACCAATGTGGGCCTTGATCTCACAACTGTGAGATCATGACTTGAGCCAAGGGATGCTTAACCGACTGAACCACCCAGGCACCCCCAAATTGTGGTCTTAAAAGTTGTGCCAGTTTACATTCCCACCAGAAGTATAGGGGAATCCTTTCAAGTAAAAGATATGATCAATCCTTAAAATTTCTGCCAACCTGATAGGTAGAAAATTATATTATTAGATGTTCTTTTTTGTTGTGTTTATTGCTAGGGAGTTTAAGCATCTTTTCATACTTTTTTTAGGAATTGTATTTTTCTTCGTTTTTGAATTTGAACACTATGTTGTCATTTTTAAAAAATGTTTTTAAATTTATTTTGAGAGAGAGAGCAGAGGGAGGGACAGAGAGCGAGGAGAGAGAGAGAGAATCCCAAGTAGACTCCATGCTATCAATGCAGAGTCCGACGTGGGACTTGATCTCACAAACTGTGAGATCATGACCGGAGCCAAAATCAAGACTCAGCTGCTTAACAAACTAAGCCAATCAGTACCCCTATGCTGTCACTTTTTAATATCAGGTTATTTGGTAACTTATAAAACACCTCCCCTGTAACACTGGAAAAGTTCTAGGTGAGCTTGGTAGGTGTTCCTGATATTTTGACATCAAGAAACACTGCTGAGGGGGCGCCTGGGTGGCTTAGTCGGTTAAGCGTCCGACTTTCGCTTAGGTCATGATCTCGCGGTTCGTGGGTTCGAGCCCCGCGTCGGGCTCTGTGCTGACTGCCAGCTCAGAGCCTGGAGCCTGTTTCAGTCTGTGACTCCCTCTCTCTCTGACCCTCCCCTGCTCACGCTGTCTCTCTCTCTCTCTCCTAGAAATAAATAAAACATTAAAAAAAAAATAATAAAATAAATAAAAATATTCTTCTTTAAAAAAAAAAAAAAAGAAACACTGCTGAGCTAATGTCTAGCATTGGGTTAACACCAACATTACATGAATTCTAAGAACCTCATTTTTATCTAACAACGCCTCAATTCTAAAAACATCCCAGAAGTTGTAATGCAATAATAAAAAGATAACCTAATTAAAAGCCAGCAAAGGATTTGAATAGATATTTTGCCAAAGAAGATATACAAATGGCTGAAAGCACATGAAAAGGTGCTCATTAGTAGTTAGAGAAATACAAATTAAAAACTTTAAATCTGTCAATTGTGCAGTATGTGAATTCTATATCAATAAAGATGTTTTTAAAAAGGTAGCCCCAGGATAAAAGGGCATTTGGGATGTCAAGACAACCTTGAAAGTAATAGGTAATAATGTAGGTCAAGTAACAAAGGGAAAGAGAATATAGGCAGTAGGCTGCTTGTAAACTTCTACCCTCACCTGGGTCTCCAGCAGGTTCTATTTGAACAACTATGTTTTCTTATATCTCCCTTGGGCATATGATTGCAGGCCATTACAAAATATATTGAGCATATAAAAACATAGAATTAAAGACATTTTCTTCCAAGGTCTGGTTTATCCTGCAGCTTTCACATGTCTTACTAAGAATATATTTTACTATTCTCTTGGCCTGTCAAATGAAGTTACCATTTTAAAATATACTAAAAATATTGCAGCTCACATAGAAGAAAGAAAAAAAAATTTTGGTAAGCCTTTTAAAATCTAGCCTGACCTGTTTATTTCCAGATTAAAGATTTGAGTCATATTTAATAAGATTATTTTTTTCTGCTTGTTCTTCAAATAATGTAATACTTTTCTTTACATTTTGTAGAGTTCTTGCTGAGGCAATTGTTCTTTTCACATCAAGTCAAGAGGAGGTTACTCTTGCCGTTACCCCACTCAGTGTTTGCCTTAAGAGTTCCAGTGACGAACCAATGGGTAAGGACTACATCTGCCGTGACACTTGGATGGAATGTCACTTCCTGGCTTTCTTGATTACTGACCACAATAAACATTAGTGCCATAACATTTATTCTTGTCTAAAAAGAAGTAAGATGTAGAAAGATCATTAACAATTGTGAGAGATCCAGGAAATGGAACACAACCAGTAATTAAAATATTTGGCTTTGAAATTCAGGTTGTTTTTTTAAAATATTAATTAATTGATTTATTTTTAAACTTACATCCAAGTTAGTTAGCATATAGTGCAATTATGACTTCAGCAGTAGATTCCTTAATGCCCCTTAACCCATTTAGGCCATCCCCCCTCCCACAACTCCTCTGGTAACCCTCTGTTTTTCTCTATATTTAAGAGTCTCTTATGTTTTGTCCTCCTCCCTTTTTTGAATATTATTTCTGCTTCCCTTCCCTTATGTTCATCTGTTTTGTATTTTAAGTTCCTCATATGAGTGAAGTCACATGATATTTGTCTTTCTCTAATTTCGTTTAGCATATTGCCCTCTAGTTCCATCCACATTAGATTGCCAATGACAAGATTTCATTCTTTTTGATTCCCAAGTAATAGTCTATTGTATATATACACCACATCTTCTTTATCCATTCATCATTGATGGACATTTGGGCTCTTTCCGTACTTTGGCTGTTGTCAGTAGCGCTGCTATAAGCATTGGGGTGCATGTGCCCCTTTGAAACAGCATGAAACCCCTTGGATAAATACCTAATAGAGAAATTTTGGGGTAATAGGGTAGTTCTACTTTTTTAATTTTTTGAGGAAGCTTCATATTGTTTTCCAGAGTGGCTGCACCAGTTTGCATTCCCACCAGCAGTGCAAAAGAGATCCTCCTTGCCAACATCTGTTGTTGCCTGAGTTGTTAATGTTAGCCATTCTGACAGGTGTAAGGTGGTATATTATTGCGGTTTTGATTTGTATTTCCCTGATGATGAGTGATGTTGAACGTTTTTTCATGTGTCTGTTAGTCATCTGGATATCTTTTTTGGAGAAGTGTCTACTCATGTTTTTTGTACATTTCTTCACTTATTTGTTTTTTGGGTGTTGACTTTGGTAAGTTCTTTATAGATTTTGGATACTAACCCTTTATCTGATATGTCATTTGCAAATATCTTCTTCCATTCTGTTGATTACCTTTTGGTTTTGCTGATTTTTTCCTTTGCGGTGCAGAAGGTTTTTATTTTGATGAGTTCCCAATAGTTCATTTTTGCTTTTGTTTCTGTTGCTTCTAGAGACCTGCTGAGTAAGAAGTTGCTATGGCTGAGGTCAAAGAGGTTTTTGCCTGCTTTCTCCTCTAGGATTTTGATGGTTTCCTGTCTTATGTTTAGGTCTTTCATCCATTTTGAGTTTATTTTTAGAAATACAGATTGTTTTAAAATTAGGAGAATGGTGGGCGGTCTGGGTGGCTCAGTTGGCTAAGCATCCAACTTCAGCTCAGGTCATGATCTCACGGTTCACGAGTTCACCCCCCTGTTTCAGGCTCTGTGCTGATACCTCAGAGCCTGGAGGCTGCTTCAAATTCTGTGTCTCTCTCTGCTTCTCCCCCACATGTGCACTCACTTTTTCTCCTCAAAAATAAACATTAAAAAAAACATAAAAAATATACAATTAGGAGAATGGTTATTGAGAAAAGTATATCTTCAGTTAAGATTTTATGATCTGTTTTTCGGGGCACCTGGGTGGCTCAGTCGGTTGAGCGTCCAACTTTGGCTTAGGTCATGATCTCATGGTTCGCGGGCTCGAGCCCCACATCGGGCTCTGTGCTGGCAGCTAGCTTAGAGCCTGGAGACTGTTTCGGATTCTGTGTCTCCCTCTCTCTCTGACCCTCCCCTGCTCATACTGTCTCTCTCTCTCAGAAATAAATAAAACATTAAAAAAAAGATTTTATTATCTGTTTTTCATCTATTTTTTAAGTTTTGTTTTGTTTTTTAAATAATTTCTACACCCACCATGGGGCTCGAACTCACAACCCCAAGATCAAGAGTTGCATGCTTTTCTAAAAAGCCAGCCACTTGCCCCTGTTTTTCATCTTTTATCACCCTTTGTGTTTAGCACAAAAAAATTAAGAGGGAGCAATTCAATTGAGATTATCTTTGATCACGTAAGAAGAAAAAGTGGCTTCAAATTAGAGATGTAGGATATTCCAGATGGCAAATACACTTGGCAAAAAATGTGAATACTTAAGTCAGCTCTTTCAAGAGCTATCTGGATTGAATGGAGAAACTAAGGCATGATTAAATTGGGAGTTTTGCTATCAATTGACTAGGGTCTTTTGGGCACAAGCTGTTTGTGACTCTTTAACTTTTGTGTAGTGTGTGTGTGTGTGTGTGTGTGTGTGAGTGATAGCAGTGAAGAATGCAAAGGGAGAGAATTGTATTATTTTGAAGTGAAAAACCAGTAGAACCAGGGCTAAAGTTGGATCAGATGATCTTAGTGGTGTTTAGTTTGCGCCATGTTCTTTCTTAAGTGGTTTCCGTTTATGAATTGGTGTGATCTTTGTAACAGCTCTGTGATGTGCGTACTGTTATGCCCATTTTTCCATGTGAAGAATATGAAGCACAGAGAAATTAAGTGACTTGCCTGGTGTCACAGTAAGTGCTGGATTATTATCTGAATGTAGGCTTCAAGGCACAGGCTCAATACCACTGTGCTATTATTACTTCTCACTGGTCTTATCTAGCATTGTCTTTTGACACTCAGAAGTGCATGATCTGGAAAATATATGTTTGTTCTAGTGAAAGGATCTGTTTTATATTCCATAATGCCATCTCTGAATAAAGGTGGCCATTTAGTTACCAGGAGACACTGTCCCTTGTGAGCAGCTTTCTAATGAGTAATTATAGTTATGGTTGACTGGGGACATTCAGGCACCAGTAGCAATTGGGGACCCAATTGTTAATTTTATTTTAATTTTTAAAAAATTTATTCATTTTTGAGAGACAGAGACAGAATGCAGTGGGGGAGGGCCAGAGAGCGAGGGAGACACAGAATCTGAAGCAGGTTCCAGACTCTGAGCTGTCAGCACAGAACTTGATGTGGGGCTCAAACCCACAAACCGTGAGATCATGACCTGAATCATAGTTGGACACTTAACTGACTGAGCCCCCCAGTCACCCACCAGTTGTTTATTATTGAACTCACTCTGTGCTAGTACACTGGAAGTGACATGAGCCTTCTTCTTTGATATGAATGTATTTTTAGGATAGTGTTTGGTCCTTTTAAAAAATATATACCATTTATCATTTGTTTTTACACAATTCACATTCATTGAAGAAAATAAAAAACACAAAATAAACACTAATAAAAAAGAAGTCACCTGAAATCCCACTATTCAGAGATAAGCAGTTTTAATACTTTGGAACATCTTCTATAATTCAGATCTAACGACAGAAAATTGGTTGAGTGAAAGTAATGAAATACTATAAAGCTATTAAAAGTAATCCAATTAAAAATGGGCAGAGGACCTGAATACCCATTCTTCCAAAGAATGCGTACAGATGGCCACAGACATATGAAAAGATGCTTACCATCACTCATCAGCAGGGAAATGCAAATCCAAACCACAGTAAGGATGTGAGGGCGACCTGGCTGCAATATCTGTTAACCCATCCATCACCAAGGTTGATTCGACTGATCTGGCTGGCTAGGCGGGTGTCCTCTTCCTCCCTCACTCCTCGATGTATGTCCCTCCCAAAGCTGTATGCTCAGTTGAAGAGGACGACCTTCCCCAGTAGAGGACTGTCCAGGAGTAGCTGCTCTCCCCTGCTAGAGCCTTCAAACAAGTTCTCATGGTCCTTTTGCAGGAGCACTTGGGTAGTCAAGCTTCCAAGACTCGAGACACATCCAGATGAGGTGCTGCATGTGGTAGTCTGCTTTTCTTTAAAGAAAAAAAAACCCGGAATGAGATAATCATCTTAACAGCTGTCAGAAGGGCTAAAATAAAAAACACAAGAAATAACAAGTGTTGGCAAGGATGTTGAGAAAAAACAACTCTTGTGCACTGATGGTGAGAATATAAATTGGTGCAGCCTCTGTGTAAAATAGTATAGAGTTTCCTGAAAAAAACTAAAAATTGAAATACCAGGGGCACCTGGGTGGCTCAGTTGGTTAAAGTGTCCGACCCTTGATTTTGGCTCAGGTTATGGAATCATAGTTTGTGAGATTGAGCTTTGTCTCGGGCTCTGTGCTGACAACATGGAACCTGCTTGAGATCCTCTCTCTACCTCTCTCTCTGCGCCTTAGCCACTCATGCTCTCTCTCTCTTTCTCTCTCTCTCTCTTAAATAAATAAACTTAATAAATACGATATGAGCCAATAATTCCACTATTGGGTATTTACCCAAAGAAAATGTAAACACTGATTTGAAAAGGTATATGCACCCCTGTGTTCACTGCAGCATTATTTATAATGGCCACGATTTGGAAGCAACCCAAGTCTATCCATAGATGAATGGATAAAGAAGATGTGGTATGTATGTAATGTAATATTACTCAGCCATAAAAAATAATGTTATTTTGCCATTTGCAACAACATGGGTGTACCTAAAGGATATAATGCTAAGTGCAATAAATAAATCAGAGAAAGACAAATACCATATGATTTCTCTCATATGTGGAATTTAAGAAACAAAATGAATGAACAAAGAAGAGACAAAAACCATTCTTTAAAAATTTTTTTGAATGTTTATTTATTTTTGAAGGAGAGACAGAGAATGAGCAGGGGTGGGGCAGAGAGAGAGGGAGACACAGAATCTGAAGCAGGCTCCAGGCTCTGAGCTGTCAGCACAGAGCCCGATGCAGGACTTGAACTCACAAGCTGTGAGATCATGACCTGAGCCAAAGTCAGATGCTTAACCAACTGAGCCACTTAGGCACCCCAGTATTCTCATAAATGTAGAGAACAAACTAGTAGTTGGTAGAGGTAAGGTAAGTGGGGACATGGATGATATAAAGGGGATTAAGAGTACACTTATATTGATGAATACTGAGGAATGTATAGAATTGTTGAATTATTATATACCTGAAACTAATGTAACAGTGTATATTAGGGCTCAGTCGGTTAAGCGTCCGAATTCGGTTCAGGTCATGATCTCACCAATTGTGGGTTCGGGCCCCACGTCGGGCTCTGTGCTGACAGCCAGCTCAGAGCCTGGAGCCTGTTTCAGATTCTGTGTCTCCCTCTCTCTCTGACCCTCCCCTGCTCACACTGCCTCTCTCTCTCTCTCTCTCTCAGAACTAAATAAAACATAAAAAAAACAGTGTATATTAATTACACTTCAAGTAAGGTATAAAAAGAAAATGGAAGAAAACATACTTGTGCGTGTATATACCTCTGAGCATTTATATCAAACATTTTTATAGTGAATAAACAAAATAATGTATTCTTGTCACTTATGTTTCTGCGGGTTTGTGGGGCTCAGCTAGACAGTTCTCACTTGGGAGTCTTTCATGCAGTTGCAGTTAGATAGTGGCTGGGTCTGGAATCATCTGGACATCCAGGATCTCTGGTAGTTGATGCTGGGAATGCAGGTGGGCTGTTAACCAGAGTGACTGCAATAGATATGGCCTCTCCGTTAACTCAGACTTCATTCATATGGCATGAACTCACCATGCTGGCTGAGTTCCAAAAGTGAGTGTTATAGGACAGAAGAAGTGGGTAGAGAATAGAGGAAGTAGAAGTTGCCAGTTTCTTAAGGCCTGGGATCAGAAACCAGCGCCAGGCCATTTCATCTATAGCACCATATCCTACTCGTCACAGTAGTCAGAGAGCCCTCCTACCCAAAATTAAGAGAAGGGGACATGGACATAGACCCCATCTCTCAATGAAGGAATATCAAAGGATTTGTGGCTTTTAATATACCACTTACAGTTGTGTTTTCATATTAAAATTTAACAAATGGGGTGCCTGGGTGGCTCAGTGGGTTAAGCACCTGACTCTTAATTTCAGTTCAGGTCATGATCTCAGTTTGTGAGATTGAGCCCCACACTGGGCTCTGTGCTGACAGCGTGGAGCCTACTTGGGCTTCTCTCTCTCTCTCTCTCTCTCTCTCTCTCTCTCTCTCTGTCTCCATGCTCATACATGCTCTCTCTCTCAAAATGTTTTTTAAAAATTTCACAAGTACCTCTGGAACTAATTTTATTCATTATTTTCCTATAACATTGAACAGATTTGACCAGTTCTGTGTACAGTGAGATGTTTGTTGCCCCAGATGAGTTTGACTTCTTTCAAATTGGAGTTGATAGTGAAATAACATTTTGCTTCAAAGAACTGAAGGTAAAGAAAAGTTTGTGTCAAAATTTCACTGGTAGTTTTTAACTAAATATTACAAGTATTTTTCTTCTTTTTTTCTTTCAGGGAATGCTGACATTTTCAGAAGCTACACATGCTCCTATAGCCATTCATTTTGATTTTCCTGGGAAGTAGGTCCTTGGGAATTTTTCTGAGTTTTTTTATTGTTATATATCAATAATAAAACCCTTTGGATCGCTTTGCAGTTAATTCACACCTCAGGAATTGCTTACTTTATTAGCAACACTTATCAAACTAAAATTTTGAAGGATGCCATAACACAGCATTTTTAATTGGTAATTGAGGAAGATATATTCTGCAGAGTGAAAACTTATAAATTTGACATGGTACCAAATAAGTTGCCTAATTAGAAAATTATACATGGCTTAAATAAATCTAATCTCTATGAAGTTCTGATATTTTATATGGTATTTCAGAACTAAAATTTCAAATGAGATTAGGTTAGGGTAGATGTATTTTATGAAACTGGATCTAATGATGTCAAGGTCCCTTTCAGCTCTTAGGACTGTGTTAAATTTGTGAAAAGACCAAAAGGACTTCTATTGTCTCTTTTTACTCTTGAATTTAGTGTCATTTTCTAATGTTTTCCCAATATCCATCAGAAAATGTGTATGATGTTTGCTCTGACTTTGCCTTTTTTTTAGACCTATGGCCTTAAGTATTGATGATATGTTGTTGGAAGCTAACTTTATTTTGGCTACATTAGCTGATGAGCCAAGTAGAGCATCTTCTCCACAGTCACTGTGTCTTTCGCAAAAACAAAAAAGGTAAGGCCAATGTTTCAACGTTTTTATTGTTTGGGAAAAAGCTATTGCAGTCTTATTCTGAAATAATTTATTGGCATTCGTTTAGGAAACAATCAAGGAACAAAACATTAGATCAGATTGACTGAATCAGGAAGAGCTACTGTGGGACCTAACAAGCATTGAAATATCCTCAGTAATGCATTATAAATTTGCTTTTTCTATTCTGATCAGAATTTAATAGGACTGTCTGGCTTATCTTTGTTATTACCCAAAACTCATTTCCATTTTTGGTAGTCATTTTTTAGGAGGGATACAGTGTTAAGCTTCACCGGACAGTTTCTATTCACTGCCTAGAATTCTCTTTCTCAGACAAGGGGACAGCCATTGTTTTTCTTTCCTTTTTTTTTTTTTTTGTCTCTTAATAACTTTCTTTTTCTTCCTCCCTCCCTCCCTCCCTCCCTTCCTTTCTTTCTTTCTTTCTTTTTCTTTTCTTTTCTTTTCTCTCTCTCTCTCTCTCTCTCTCTCTCTCTTTCTTTCTTCCCCTTCCTTCCTTCCTTCCTTCCTTCCTTTTTGGTGCAGGGTGCTTCACTGTAAAAGTAGCTTAAAGGTACTATGGGAAATTTGGAAAATACAGAAAAGTACAAAGAAGAGAATCAAAATTGCACCACCTGGAGATAGCCACTGCTACCACTTGACTCACCTTTTTTTCTCTTATTTTGCATACACTTGTGTCTTAAAATAAGATCAGGATCATATAGCATATGTAGTTTTGTATCCTGTTTTCCCCCCACGGAATATATTGTGAATATGTTCGAGTATCACTGATTATGACTTGGAAACATGATTTTTCTTTAAGATTTTAAGTACTTTCTACACACAACATGTGGGGCTTGAACTCACAACCGCGAGATCAAGTCACACGCTCTACTGACTGAGCCAGCCAGGTGGCCCTGGAAACATGATTTTTAATGACTGTATAAAATTTTATCATACAGATGTTTAGTATTTGACTTTTTTTCTAACTTCAGACCTGTAACTATATTACAGGTTTGTCTCATGCACACTGGGTTGCTTCACTGAAGAATTTGAATCTGTAGGGAAAATTTCTAAGTAATTCTACATATTTCTAACTAATATGTAAAATTTAGCTTTCAACAACTAGCTCCGTGTTGTTTCAATATATTCTCTAAGCCAGTATTATCACTGTTATCCCATATTGCTTCATCAGTTATATGAAAGTATATATACCTAAGCAAACAGTTCATTCAATCTCTTAATACCTCAGGTCAGATCGACTGGGTTCAAATTCAGAGGCTGGTAAAAATGTAACCAGTAAGGCCCCAGAATGTATCCAGAGAAAAGTAGCACCTAAAAGACTTTATCCAAAGGAGACTCTCACAGATGTCTCTGCGCTGGAAAACCGTGACAGCCCCAGAATGAAAAGAGCCAATGGAGACCTGAGTGAAGTGCCGGAAAGCAGTGTCAGCAACACGGAGGAGGTGCCAGGGTCTCTGAATCAGAGGAAGGTAAAGGGAAAGCATTGAGATGTGACCATGTCTTAGGAATTCTCATCATCTGTCTCCTTTTGCAGTCTCCTTGCCCAGGCCCACCCCAATATCCTGAATTTAGTTCATCCTTACTTTTTGACAGGGCAGAGGTGAAACCAGTTTGAGATGGTATAAAGACTGATTTATATAGGGGCCCCTGGGTGGCTCAGTCAGTTAAACATCCGACTTCAGCTCAGGTCATGATCTCACAGTTTGTGAGTTCCAGCCCCGCATCGGGCTCTGTACTGACGGCGTGGAGCCCGGAGCCTGCTTCAGATTCTGTGTCTCCCTCTCTCTCTGCCCCTCTCCTGTTCACACTCTGCCTCTCTTCATCTCTAAACTAAATAAACAATTAAAAAAATGACTTACATAGACTGTCAGTACAAAAGAGTTTAATTGCTCATTGAGTAACAAAGTACATTCAGGTAGAGATTTGGGTCACTTGTTTAAAAGAATAAATTGTGATTGCTTACAAGATACTTATCTGTGAGTACAAATAGTATGCCAAAGTCATATAATTTCTTTTTTAAAATAAGTGTCCTTCTCATTTTATTTTTCAAATTTGGCTGGAAAACCCTTTACTCATTGTGGAACAAACATAAATTTCATCCCAACAAACATCATAAATTTTTTTCATAGTGGAGTCCCAGCTAATAACATTATATTACCAACATTTTATTAGCTGGATGATAAGCTTTATAGAATATTGTTAAGTTAAACCTTATGATATCTATTGAACTGAAGATAAATATGATTTCTTAGAAACTGAAGTATCTGAAATAGTAGTCCCAATTTAACATGTTTACATTATGTTTTATTCAAGCTTCTTTTACTGGAAATATGAGTTTCTTAGAATTAGAAAATTGAAGGGAGAAAGTATTTCTAAAAGTCACTGTTTTATGCTCTATTTTAGAACAGTAAAGTTGGGTTGTAAACTCCATTTATTATTCAGTTTGATGCTATGAGTGTTTTTTAAAAAATTTTTAATGTTTTATTTTTGAGAGAGAGAGAAACAGCACAAGTGGGGGAGGGGCAGAGAGCAAAGGAGACACAAGATCCGAAGCAGGGCTCCAGGCTCTGAGCTGTCAGCACAGAGCCTGACGCAGAGCTTAAACTCACAGACTGTGAGATCATGACCTGGGCTGAAGTCAGCGCTCAACCAGTTGAGCCACCCAGGTGCCCCTTAAGTGTTTACTGAATACCTGTTGTATGCTTAGGAGTTATGGCAGTTTTCTCTTGTGTATTCTTAGCTTGGTTACATAATGAAAACTGAAATTTGTCCTTTGATTATATATAAATATAATGTGCTTACTTTTTCACAGGTAACAACCCAAAAACATTTCTGACTGCTTCAACTCCCTGAAATTCACTAAGATTGCCCGTTTCCTCAGTAGGGAAAGTGATGCGTATAAAGAACTGTAAGCTCCATGAGCACCATTACAGGGCTCTTTGTCAAATTTCCCATCATGTCACTTAAATTCTAAAAAGGAAATTCTATTTTTAAAGGGAATTAATTTGCCTGAATGTGACAAATTCCTGCAAAACTCAAATTCCAATATAGTTAAGTATTTATATGCTTATCATCTTCCTCCCAAACTATTGTGAGCCTTCAAATTGGCTTCCATGCCCCATTCCCCTGCACTCAGGTTCTCCTCCAAGTGTTAGAGAAGAGTTTGTCCAAACCTTGCAGCTGAGGTAGAGTGCAGGGGTTCAGAGTGTTGGCTCCAGATTTTGAGTTCGTAGGTTCACATCCCAGTTTGCCACTTATTAGCTGTGTGACTTGGACAAGTTACACCTCTTTACCTTGGTTTTATTATCAGTAAAATGGAGATGATAATACTACCACCTATTAAATAGAACTGTGGAAATTAATTGAACTAATATATAGAGCTGGCACATGGCTAGTGCTCATTAAATGTTAAGTTATTGTTACACATCACTCTCCTGTCTTCAAAACTCTTGGATCATTCCCTTTTTCCCATAGGATTACACCTAAACTCCTTGGAATGGCATTCAGGGACGTCCCTAAGATATTTAATGTGCTCTTCACCGGGCCTCCTTTCCTCCCTCTTGCCCTGGTTCAAAACACCCTCTATGCCGGGAGTGGCAGATAGGTTTCCTCTCTCCTCTCACCACCACAGTCAGTCATCCAGTCGGTGAGCTAAGTTGAGAATGGCTAAAGCTGTATCTAGTTGATTAGCAGTGTCCGCCATTTGCACTGAGGGGCTGCACCTGTGAGCCAGACTCAAGCTGTAGCCATTATGGTGCTAGTGACATTCGTATAATATGGCCCATCCTATTTGTTCGCTTGTATTTAACTTTTCATTTTAAAATAATTTCACTTTTAAAAAGTTGTAAAATTAGTACAAAGAGTTCCTATATACCCTTCTCCTAGACTCTCCAAATGCTAACATTTACGTGTAATAGTACAATTATCCTTTCATCAGGGAAAAATCAGAAAATACAAATAAGAGATTTTCAGAGATAATCATTACAAACACTTTATTATGACTCTACGCACTCATACTTGCACACATGCACATCAGGCTTTTTTAAATTTTGAAATAAATTCAGAATCACTTCTAGAATTTAGTATAGAATTCCCACATACCATTTACCCTATTCCCTAAATGTTAAGAGTCTCCTTTAGTCTGGAACGTTTTTCTAAATCTTGGTCTGTCTATCTTAACCTTGACACTTCAGCAGAATGCCCCTGAATTTGAATTTTTCTGATGATTTCTTCATGATTAAATTTCAGCTGTGTATTTTCAGCAAGAATGCAGCAGAATGATACTGTGTTGTTCTGCATCATATCTGGAGGCACATGATGGAGACATGTTTCCTTCTTGGTAATCCTAATTTTTATCGTAGAGTTAAGGTGTTCTCTGCCAGATCTCTCCACTTTAGTAAAGGTACTGTTTTCCGTTAGTAATTCAAACTGTCATGGTGGAAGATACTTTGAAACTATATAAATATTCCGTTTCTCATCATACTTTTTGCCTACTAATTTCAACATCCATTGATGCTTTTTTGTCTAAAATAGTTATTACTGTGATGCTTGACAAATGGTAATTTTTTGGGTAATTTTTCTATTATCAGATGAAACTGAACTTTAATAACTCTCCTTCCCATTTGTTATTCGATTATTTAGATCACAAAATGCTCTTGGATATTATTTTCTGGCTAATGATCCATGACTGTCATTTATTTTGTTGCTTGACCTCTCCATATTTGGCCACTGGGAGCCTCTGTCTCTTCGGCATGTCTCCAGCATTTTTGAGCACTTCCTTACTTTCTGGAAATTTAAAGTGTGCTAGGTTTAACTTGTATTTCTCTGACTCCAGTCCAAATGGAATCAGCCATTTCTCCCAGAGTCCTGGTTCCTTTGTTTGGGGATGGTAGATGGAAACAACTTCTGGGTAGTAGGTTTTGTGCTCTTTTGTACTTGGGCTTCTTTGCTTCTAGGCCCTCTCAGCAGACAGAACTAGGAAATGTGTGTATTTTTTGACACATACACACATATCGATCAACTTTTGTATCTATTTGTATGTATACATATACACCTGTGTACATGAAAACCCATGCATTCATGCTGATAACCTCCAGTTCTAACCCAACACCGCAGGCTTATACGGGCCTCCCCCTTTTCTTTAGAACTCCTTCGTCTGGCAAGGAGAAACTTGGCTGTTATTATCCACAACATGTTTACCTACTGTTCAACCTGAGAACATACTTTCAGAATTGCTAACTCATACTCCTGGAAAAATGAATCTGCTAACAGGGGTATAATATTTGCGAACATTTTTGTGTCTTCAAGTATATATTCAAAAGACTTTTTTCAACAGTTTTTCAGCATTACTTAGGGTAGTTTTCTTCCTTCACTCATATTTCAGTATGGTTATGTTAATCATCTGGCACACAGATAGCTTTGTTTGCTTGTCTTCCATTTTGGCTCTCCCCAAATCCGTGCTGATTTGGTCTCTGAGTGCTGAGCCATGAGCCGCACTACAAGTCAGAACTATGTCAGCGTCTCTGCAGAACGGCATCACTCCCTTCTCTGCACTCTTTGTAGAGAATTCATTAGTTTTTCATTGATCATTTGTGTTACTTTTTACACAAATGAGCAGATACGTATATTTTATTTCTTCTTCTTTCTTATACTATAAATGCTGTTTTCCAATTTGCTTTTTGTACCTAAGTAGTATGTACTACAAATCACTCTGTATCCCCCCTCCACCACCAGTTGTGTAGTATTTCACCCATGATGTACCATAGTTAATTCAACCATTCTCTTATATGTAGGCATTTAGATAGCCCCCTCCCCCCACTTATATTTTGCAGTTAAAAAGCTGCAGTGAGTAACTTTTACACATGTATTTTCATATTGTCAAAAGTGTATCTTCAAGGCAAATTCCTAAAAGTGCATTGCTGTTTTTTTACTTTTTAAATAGTTATTTATTTTAAGAGAGATCGCACACAAGCTGGTGTGGGGCAGAGAGAGGGAGAGAGAGAGAATCCCAAGTAGACAAGTAGAATCCCACACTGACAGCACGGAGCCTGATGTGGGGTTTGACCTCACAAACCATGAGATCATGACCTGAGCTGAAGAGTCGAATGCTTAACCAACTGAGTCACCCAGGCACCCAGGTGTGTTGAGTTTATAAATTCTTTACATTTTTTGGATACTAACCCAGTATGGGATAGGTCATTTGCAAATCTCTTCCTCCATTCTGTAGTTGCCTTTTAGTTTTGTTGACTGTTTCCTACACTGTGCAGCAGCTTTTAATTTTGATGTAGTCCCAATAGTTTATTTTTGCTTTTGTTTCCCTTGCCTCAGGAGACATGTCTATAAAGAAGTTGCTACTGCCAGTGTCAAAGAAGTTTCTGATTGGGTTTTCTTCTAGAATTTTTGTGGTTTCAGGTCTCACACTTAGGTCTTTAATTCATTTTGAATTTATTTTTGTGTATGGTGTAAGAAAGTGGCCCCGTTTCATTCTTTTACATGTCGCTGTCCTGTTTTCCCAACTCCATTTGCTGAAGAGACATTCTTTATCCCAATTGGATATTCTTTCATCAAAGATTAATTGACCATATAATTGTGAGTTTATTTCTGGATTTTCTTTCTTTTTTTTTTTTTAATTTTTAATGTTTTATTTACTTCTGAGAGATAGAGAGAGGCAGCATGAGAAGGGGAGGGTCAGAGAGAGAGGGAGATACAGAATCTGAAGCAGACTTCAGGCTCTGAGCTAGCTGTCAGCACAGAACCTGATGTGGGGCTCGAACCCACAAACTGTGAGATCATGACCTGAGCTGAAGCTGGACGCTTAACCAACTGAGCCACCCAGGCGCCCCTATTTCTGGATTTTCTATTCTGTTCCATTGATCTATGTGTCTCTTTTTATGTCAGTACCATACTGTTTTGATTACTGCAGCTTTGTAATTTAACTTGAAGTCCAGAATTGTAATGCCTCCAGCTTTGCTTTTCTTTCAAGATTGCTTTGGCTATTCAGGGTCTTGTGGTTCCATACAAATTTTAGGATTATGTGTTCTATTTCTGTAAAAATGCTGTTGGTGTTTTGATAGGAATTGCATTGAATGAGTAGACTGCTTTGGGTAATATAGACATTTTAATAATATTTGTTCTTCTAATCCACATTCCTTTGTGTCCTCTGCAATTTCTTCCATCAGTGTTTTATAGTTTTCAGAGTACACATCTTTCACCTCTTTGATTAGGCTTATTTCTAGGTATCTAATTATTTTGGGTGCAGTTGTATTGAGGTGAAATTTTTATTTATTTTAAAATTATTTTTATTTACTTTTTGAGAGAGAGGGAGGAAGAGACGATGTGCGTGTGCATGTGAGAATGGGAGGGGCAGAGGAAGAGGGAGAAAATCTCAAGCAGGCTTAGCACTGTCAGCACAGACCCCAACATGGGACTTCGTCTCACAAACCGTGAGCTCATGACCTGAGCTGAACCAAGAGTCAGACACTTAACTGACTGAGCCACCCAGGTGCCCCAAAGTGGTGGTTCTTAACTGAGGCAGTTATGCTCCCTAGAGAGGACACTGAGTGATGTCTGGGGACATTTTTGGATGTTGCAATTTGGGGAGGAGGGGCTACTGGAATCTTGTGGGTAGAGGCCATCCCCTGCCTACACAGCACAGTCCCAACGAAGAACCCTTAGCCCAAAAATGTCTGTAGTGCTGACTGCAAAACCCTAATTCAAAGGGTGGGCCAGCTGAACATTCTAAAAGCAACCAGGAGAGTGTGGCAGGAGGAAGGTACGAGAAAAAAGCATGAGTATCAAATGGGATGAAGACCCAAAATGGTCATTGACAAGGATGTGGCGATTTGAGATGACTACAAGAACAGTTAGTGACGTCGTGGGGTCAGAGCTGTTTCAGTCGGACTGAGGAACAGGAGAATGAGAAAATGGAGACTGTAAATGCAGACAACTCTACAGCAGAAATCAGGCAACAGTGGTAAGTGGGAAATGGGATAAGGCTATTTTATATTTTAAAGATGAGAAGGGCGCTTGGGTGGCTTAGTAGTAGTTAAGCATCTGACTTCAGCTCAGGTCATGGTCTCACGGTTGGTGAGGTGGAGCCCGGCATCAGGCTCTCTGCTATCAAATCCTCTGCCCCTCTATCTCTGCCCCTCCCCTGCTTGCTCTGTCTCTCAAAAATAAATATATATTTTTAAAAGTGACATTTTATTAAAGTGCTGATATTCCTATTCAACAGAGAGGCCTGGGAGGCAGAGACGGGGAGAGAAGGAATGGCATTACCTGGGAGTGGTAGCCTCTGCTGCAGCAGGAGGGAAGGGGAAGAAGATGAATTAGTCAGGTAGCAATGCCCACGGAGGGTCCCTTTGTCTCTGTCTCCCACTGCCTTGGTGTGAGTTTTAATGGCTCAGGCAGGGGGCTCAGTCTGTTAAGTGGTTACATGTCCAACTCTTGGTTTCAGCTCAGGTCATGATCTCATGGTTTGTGAGTTCGAGCCCTGCATTGGGCTCTGTGCTGACAGCACAGAGCCTGCCTGAGATTTTCTTTTTCCCTCTCTTTCTGCCCCTCCTCTGCTCTCTCTCTCAAGCTTAAAAAAAAATTTTTTTTTTAATGGCTTAGGCAGAAGAGTCAGAAGCAGATCACTGACCCCAAACTGTGCCTTGAAGGCAGGGAAAGGTTTTGTTTTAGGATGTGCTGGACCAGTCATGAAGGTTGTTCTGGGTGTTCCATGAACCATCACTGTCCAAGTTAGGGAGACCATATTGGCCAGCTTTCTGAAAAGGGGCTGTTAACCTGGAGCATCTAACAAGCACTAACCTTTGCTTGAATAAACAGCAGAGTCACTTTTTTCCCCTCCAGTTTTCTTCCATGTTCTTTGGAGCAGTTTCTTCTGACCAGCAAGAACACTTCAACCACCCTTTTGACAGTCTGGCAACAGCAAGTGACAGTGAGGAGGACATGAATAATGGCAGTTTTTCCACATTCTAACATTTAATGATGGCTGAATTGGCCCCCAGCCCATTTGCTAGCTCACTCGCAACCTCAGACACATTTGCACATTCAGTCGATAAAGATACTGTCTTGGCCTTCCTTGAAACGGGGCATGGGTTTCTGCTTTTCCCAAATCATCTGGTCTAACAGCCGTATCTAGAAATAGCTGCTTCAGTGTACATATTTGCTTTAAAACCATTATGTTACATGGGAGACAGTAGAGTTTTCCATGCAGTGATAAAAGCCCATTTGAGTTCTCCAATTCAATGTACGCTCACACTAGAGCTTTTAGCATTTTCTTTGCCAGTTTTATAAAGGTATTTAGACTTTCTTCGGCAGCTATTTGGAGTGTATGAGTATGCCTTGTAGTCTTGTGACTAGTAGGTAGCTTTTGTATTTGATTGCAAACAGTTGACGTTTGGTGCTTTCAGACATCATTAAAAGTTATGCAATCTTTTCTCATGTAATGCAGGACTTTTTTTGTCCATTGCTTTTTATATTTTGTTAAGATTTTAAGTAAAACAATCTCTGGAGAAAAAAGGTCTGGAATAAAAATAATAGCTACCCCATTCACTTTGGAGTTTTTTTATACATTGTAAAATTTAATTTTTTGATTTTCGTATGTGGTTTCTACATTTTGCAGTGTGATGCAGAAAAGAATTTAATGGAACTGATGCCAAAAAATTTATTTCTGTTATCTGATATAGAGCAGCAGCCTCCGCTGCCAGAGACACTAGATCTGGAGTAAAATGAGGTAGATTATGAATGTCTCTGTTCTTTGTCCTGTTGAGAATTAGCTTCCTACCTGTACAAACAGACTAAAAACTCTGGCACAAAACCACTGTTATGTAATTTGATGCAAGCCTCTCCCTTCCCCGAACCTGTTTACAGTCCATTAGAACCTGACAAACTCGACTTCTATAACATCTTACTGTGCAGTCTTTGTGAACCAACACATCACAAGGAAATGTTAACTGGCAAGCAGTTGTACATTTTGTGAGGATTTCATACACAAAGGTGGCAGAGTGAGTTAGTAAACTTTAGAACTGTGAACAGAGCTCTAACTAAAACCACAATGAATTTGGCTCTTGTAGCTTAGTCATGAGTCAGAGCTACCCACAATAACCTAATAAAAACTCAGGTTCATCCCAAAATGTTCCTCAATGAATGAAAATGGGCTTTCACCAAGCTTTTTGTGGAAATTGGCAATGCCCACATAATTTCAAGTCCTTTCACGCTGTAGGCTAAAGATTTACATATCTTAGGCTCGCACTGATGATTAACACTGAATTTCACATATTCCTAAAAACTGCAGATGACTGCACGGGGAGCAGGTGTACCCAAGAGTAACCGGAGGTGGTCTCCTTGCAGAGGATGAAGTTTCTGGTTCACTCGCTGACATGGGCTGAGGGGTGCAGGTTGTGAAGGTACCATCAACAATAATTGCCTGGATGCAGCACAAGTCTGGAAGAGATAGTCACACTATTAAATTGTATGTAATTTGGGTTTTAGAATCTGCATACAGAATGGTAAGTTTAAATGACACCAGATTTTTGTGTGGCTTCATTCCATATCATTTTTGGAAGATGCGAAAGCTTGCTCAGTTGGGAAAACATCTATAATTTTACACTCAGTTATCAGTCCATTTTGATGAATTTTCGAGGCAGCTAAACTGATGTAGTAAACCAGCTGGTGAAAAAGAGCTAAGTGAGATAAACTAGTAAAAGACAGAAAATGACAGCTACAAAGTAAGGAGTCACTGCTAGAATGACTAAGAGGCTTGGAAATGAGGATTTGATAGAGACCCACAAAATGTCAAGGGCTGGTGTCTTACATAGTTACGGTTCAAATTAAGGAGTTACACAGATTAGTATAAATACTATATTTATTAAATATCTTTACAGTTTATTTAAATGTATTTACAGAACTATTCCTGCATAAGTTATATTTTAGACATCCAATTCAGGTCATTGCCTCTTGGGTAAGACAAACAATGATAGTC